CTCGATCCCAGGACCCCGGGACCATGACCTGAGCCGAAGGCAGTCGCTCAACCAACTGAGCCACCCAGGCGCCCAAGGCTGCTCTTTTTTATATTCCTGGGAAATTAAAAATATTTTCCTTTGTAGATTTGTGTACCGCTGAGTAACTCTGCTTACTCTTCAACAAAATAATGAATTTAACTTTTTTTTTAATTGGTTATTTTTTTTAAAGCTTTTATGTATTCATTTGCCAGAGAGAGAGAGAGTGTTTACAAGCAGGGGGAGTGGCAGGCAGAGGGAGAAGCAGGCTCCCCACTGAGCAGGGAGCCCGATGTGGGATTCGATTCCAGGACCCTGGGATCATGACCTGAACCGAAGGCAGATGCTTAACGACTGAGCCACCCAGGTGCCCCGAATTTAACTTGTTTAAGCATTTAACATTGGACTGGCATTACTTAAGCCAGTATGGGAATGATTTTTTTTTTTCCTCGTGAAATATTCTTTTTCAGACTCTTTCAGTCATTACACTAATTCCCTATAATAGAATATTGAGCTCAGATTTAAGTAAAAATTATTTTGGCCTCATTATGCTGTATTACCCTCAAAGTCTTGATATTTATTTTACTAGCTAATAAATCAAGTAAATTATTAAAATCTGCTTCTCTCACATTTGTGTTTATGAGTAACTCTAACTTTTTAGATGTTGCAAAGTCAAACTCTTACAGGAATAATAATTTCTATTCTATCCTCCTGCTGAAAAAAGTTGCCAAATTGCTTGTAGATGTTAACTAAGAATTAAGATGAATTTCATTTTGCAGGTTTATGTGAAATTACCCTTGAAATGAATGGTAGCATCTTGGGTATCAGTTACTAAAGCACAATTTAGAAGCAAATAGCAGTATCCTAGCTGTCTGTCACCATATCAAAATTTGTAGAGTTCAGTGCCTCATTTTATAACGTGAAACTGTTAGGAAAGCACTGTTTAGTTTTATAGGTTGGACTGCCTCCAAAAAGCTTTTCTTGTCTTTTCCTCCAACAAATTCCCCTGAAGTTTGGTTTCCTTTGCTAGATGTAAGACTTTATTCATTTGTAAAGAAAAGCCTGGGCAGCTGGTAAGTTGTCTATGTTTGAGAGTTTGTTAGAAAACAGCTTTATTTGTCTCTTGATTTTTTTTTTCCCCCCTTCTCTCTCTCCCTTCCTTCCCCTCTCCGGATTTAGCTTGCAAGACAGCTTTGAATACATCCACCAGGATCCTAATTTGGGAAAACTGAACACAAATCAGAATAATTTGGGTCCTTGTCGTACTGGGAGTAACCTAGGTAAAATCCTCCACGTAACTGGGCTCTTTCTTTCCGAATACCACTATTGTGGGTGTGTGTTTTGCTTTATTTGAGTTTGTTGTGCTGTTTTGTTTTTTTTGCATCATCTTTAATCCGTGTTTATTTTTGTGTGTGTACCTCGTTTGCCCTCCCGTGTGTGTCGCTGTCTCTAGGTGCGCTGCAAGCATGCGGCAGCAAACTGCTGCAGGGCGTAGCTGAAGGAGGACCTCTCCGGCTCACCCGGAGTGCTTCTTTCTTTGCAGGTTTGTGTGGAATGCTGAGTACAGTGTGACCCACACACACATTAATAATAAGTCCTGTGCAGGTTCTTAGGAAAAAAAAAAAATCCTTTTTGGTGCCTCTCTAAGAAATCCAAGGGGCTCTTGAGATTATTAGTTTCAAATGCAGCCAAGTTCATGGTGTTTTGAAAATTCCACCAAAGAACCTCTATTGTAAATGTCTTTGCTAATACCCCAGTGTAAGCTGATCTTGATCTGAAATGAGCCCTTAGTGTTTCTAAGAGGTTTATATTTTCTGATTTTCCTGGGCCTCTTCTGCTGCTCTGGACGGCTGTTTCCCTTTCTCATGGTATATACCTTTATCCATTTGTTCACCTGCATCCTTACCTGCACAGAGTTTTCTTCAAAAGTCACCCTAATAAGAGCATGGAAGACCTACCTCTCTTTCTCTTTTCTTCCTCATCCCTCTCTCTCTTTCTCTAGCATTTAAGTAGTTTAAACATAGTTTCTAGGTTCTTTACAGGTATAATCATCTCGGTCTCTCTGGGTAGGTAAATTCTGAGATTTAACTGGCCTTGCTAGCTAAAGCTGTTGAATGTCTGTTGTAGTCTGGCATGATTAACAAGTGTGGGGAATCTTCACTACTAACATTAAAGGTTGTGTTTATGGCAAATGGTATTCTTCATTCTGTTCTTCTTTGTAGCTGGAAATATGCTAAGCACTGAGAAACTGACACCCTCCCACCTACTTAGAGTGAGGATAAGATGTTTATATGCTCTCTTTAAAATTGTGAAAATAAACATGCTTCAAAAATAGCTGGCAAGTATAATAATCAGGCAGGGCACTGGGCTTCTTGTACATTGTAAAACTTAACTATAGCAATGTGCCATCTACCCTGCAGCTCAATAAGTGTACAGTTTAGATGAGTCTGAAGCATTCCTAGAAGTCTATAATACTTTAGAGTGTTTTCTAAAATTCGTGCCACGATATGAGTTTTTCTCAGTAACTACAATAATATTGGGTGTATATGGAAAAGAAGTGGAGGAAGAAATATTTGAAAATGAATATGTGTTTTTTTTTTTTATCTACCAAGAGAGTGAGTTATAAATAGAGAAATATTTTTTAAATATATGAAATGGTATTCAAGTATTTCTGTTCCCCAAAGTTGCCTAGAGTTACTAATGAAACTGATTATAAAGCATTTTGAAAATACAGTGCTATTTAAATATGACATTACTAATGAGGAAAGGGGCCGAAAGTATCTGCCTGAGAATGTTTGTTCATTGTGTCAACTGCATGAATAGTTTATTATGGCAGTTTGTTTTAGATATAAGCATCAGTCCAAAGGGTGTTTATGTTACATAGGATAAAGGCAGGTAGTTACTTGAGTCTATCTTCTTTTCACTCGTTTTCTACGTATTTAATTTTGCTTCCTGGTTAATTTTTCTATAAACATAGGCCAGTCAACAATAGCACTAGCCTACCTTGAAATGTAAAAGTGACTACAGTCGTTTTTGAACAACTGGTTCTTTGGGCATTTCAGTAACAGGGTTACCTTTTGCCTTTCTCTCAGCACATAGCACTCCGGTTGACATGCCGAGCAGAGGACAGAATGAAGACCGGGACAGCGGCATTGCCAGATCAGGTATTTGTACTTCCTTTTATGGGTTTAGCTGGTAGAGTGAACTCTTCATTCACGATGGGAAGTAGGTCGGAAAACAGATCCGGACTTTCTTCCTTCTCCACATTCTTTT